AATGAAATGACAGTAATATATTTCAATTAAAGCTATAAGTAAACGAAAGATCTAAGGGGCTTGACACCCGCCGCGACATGAGCAATGCATAATTGAAATTTGTAAATATCTTGATAAAGAAATAAGATTAATTCTAAATAATGATAAATAGATATTAAAAACAAAAATTTATTTTATTTTTCATCTAATGTCCTGCATCTTATATTCACTTTTTTCATGTAGCCTCATATTTAGAAAAGTCATGCAACAGAAATAAAAATGAAAAATAGTGTTAAAAAATGCTGTATAATTTATTTCAAGTATTTTTTTCCTTAAATATAATTCGATATTTGTAACCAGTAAGTCTAAAAATGTGTAAAATAAATATTAAAAAAATCCTTCCTTTTTGGATTTGAGAAATCAGGCATCAGAAAAAAAAAAAAAATGAAAAATAGCATCCAAAATAAGTTCTCAGATGCAGGGATAGGGAGTCCATTTTGATTATTGAAAACATTTCTTTTCTCTCTATCTGTTGAAAGTACCCTGCATAAAATGAATATGCATCAACATGGTAACTTTTTCTTTTTCTTCCTTTAATAAGGATACTAAGAAACTTAATGAGCCATGTCTTTATATATATATATATATATATATATATATATATATATATATATATATATATATATAATGACAGGCATAAATCTTAGAAAAGTTTGGTGGCATAACATGTCTCAAAAAAGAAAAAGTGGAAAGTTGCAGTTGCCAACTAATTAAGAAAACTGGATTTTAAGCTCATTTCTGTGGTTTTGACTTGGACATTTCAAAATCAGCACCATCATGAAATCTTAAATCATGGTTTTGGCAGAGGGATTTTGCATGAGATTTTAAGTAACCTCTTTTTTTTAAGTTTCAATTTTTCTGATGACCAGAAAAAGTATAGTCCTACTTTTAGTCTAGGAAATTTTCAGCTAGATGTTTCTGTATGTAGTTAAAAAGATAAAGATTTGGTTTAGTTAATGTGATTGACATAGTTGGAGGCAAGTTTAGCATTATACTTACATTGTAATTTGAATTTGTAACTTATTAAAAAAAAAGTTTTAGTATTTTTGCAAACTAATATGCTATAACCGTGGTCATGGAAACGTTATTTGTAGCCATTTGTGTCCTTGAGTTATGTGATGACATGCAAAAAAAAAAAAAAAAACAAAACCTAAAAATGAATCTGCTATGACCATGATGGGAGAGCAAATAAATTGATCTAGTTAGAGCATCTCTTTATAATGTAATAGAAAGCCGAGGTTCCAGAAATTTACTCCTCTCTGGGGACAAGTGAATAAAAAATTACCCCATAAATTAAATGTTTTAAATTAAATCTTTTGTATAGATCAAATTCATCTTTTGATAAGACCATTGATTATTTAATTTCTCTTGACAGACATGATTGATTGAAAACAAAACCTTTAAACCTAACTCTCAATTAAGTAAGCAAGATTCTGTCAAGTTGATTGTCACTTTGAAATGTTCAGTTATTTTCTCCAATCAATTTCCATTTGTCATGAATACTAACCTATTTATAATATTACCTTTGTTCCATAATAGTTACACTTAACATACAAAATATCTATATAAATGGCTTTTATAGGACAGAGGTAGTAATATTTAAATTGATATTATTAATCATATTATTGATTATTTAAGACAAGTGTATGAGTTTTTGATAGAGTATGTCCATTATATAGAAGCAAAAACATAACATAAAACTTTACAACCCAATGTAGAGACATTAAAATATTTATAATACTTTCTCTATAAAGTGCACATTTTTATTTGTTTTGTATTTGAGGTATATTTATACTTTTTTTTTTTTTTTTTTTTTTTTTTTTAATATTCAAAAAAATAAAAAACAGAATATGCTGAAAAAGCTGCTACCCCACATGCCATCTTTAAACCAGAAGAGAATTTATGTAAATAAATAAATAAAAAAAAAAAAAAACTTAAAATACTAGTTGACAATTTTTACAATACAAGAAGTAAATTTTGTTTTTTAATATAAACATCTTATTGTGATACATAATTTAAAAACAAACATTTATTAAAATGAGAGGAAATTGACTTGGAGAAAAATGCAATCATCATGAATGGCCATTCAAAAACGTAATATTAATAAAAAGAAAGTGGGGAGGAAAAATAAATTAACCAGTTCTTGTTCCTCTCTCTTCGTTGCTGATCACAACTTTAAAAAAAAAAAAAAAAAAGGAGGATTGAGATTAAGGATAAAAACTACACATCATTGACCTTACTGTTTTCTGCTCCCATCCCAATTTTCTTTTCTGAATTGCCGTCTATGGTTATTGTTTTTTTTTTCTCTGTCAATTTCCACTAAGTTTAATAAATATACTTATTTATATAGTATTTTCTAATTTAGTTAAACACAGCTAATGTTGTCTAGCACTAAAATAGAAATATTTTGGTCAACGCAATATTAAAAAGTAAATGTTTTCAATGAATAAAAAAATTTATCAAACCACAACTATCTGTCTATATTTCTGAGATGAGGTATTATGTACATTATTCTGACTATTGTCATCATCTTTGTTGCCATATTACAACGTTTCGGCCATTGTACGCTCCAGCCTTCTTCAGGTGGTTGTAATGTTGAACTGAACCCTTTATTTCGCTCACTGGGGTAGACTGTTCTAGTTCCTTAATGAATATCAGTTATCTCCTGTTAATTTCCCTCTGAAAGTTCACCGCTGCCTTAGCCAGGTATTGAACTCGCACTGGATAACAGCAAAAATTGCAATATGAGCACTGGTAAACGGTTGCTGAAGACATTAGATTTATAATACCCAGAAATTCATACACAGATGTCCTCAAGGACACATGGCACAGTGGATAAAGGCATTAGTTAGAACCAGTGACAGGACCCAAAGAGTGTGAGTTCAATACCTGGTTATGACAGTGTAGAACTTGGAGAGGTGAATTAACAGGAGATAACTGATAACTGACATCCATTAAACATGACACGTGGAACTAGAGTAGTCTACCCCAGTGAGCAAATTAAAAGGGTTCAGTTTGACATTCCAACCACCTGAAGAAGGCTGGAGCGTTGTAATAAATATGGCAACAAAGATGAGGACAATAGTCCAAATAATGTAAATAATAAACCACAACTTGTAGCCGTTAAAATTTTTTTTCTATTTTCAAGACCCGGAATTAAAAATTGGTCTTTGTTAATTGTTATTATCCTGCTATCAAGCAAATAGTTAAGCGCAATAACCATAGGTTAAACTGTCATGATGATTCCTTAAGCTGAATGAATTGTCAAGATCTGGAGGTCATGAAACAATAGTTAGATATTAGAATTATGGCAATTGTTGGGGATTTACCATGATGAATATTTAGGTTTGGTATTCAGCAACATAATTCCATGAAGGAATATCCAACAAATCTTATGCCTGTAAACCATTAGAATCACTCCCGCACTTATTTGGGATAAGACAGATACTGGAGTGATCTGTTAGAAAATATTACATAGATGACAAACTTGACCTCTAGCAGGTGTCATGTTCCTATTCCATATCCCTTCTTGATTTTGGGTTTGATCTACTCAAATAGAAAGCTTTTTTTTTATGTTCTTTGTTGTGTCAGACCTAAATTCCTCTTCTATCCCCACAAGTCTCTGGCTAATTTTCACCTCCAGCCAATTAGCACCTTCCATCACATCATCTAAATTTAATCTTGTAAGTTTTTGAAGAGTGAAAGCTCAACCAGTTTAAAATTTGTTAAAAATTTGCTGAGATTGTGAATATGAAAATTGTGGGAATGGGGCTCGATAATTATTTATCCACCATATTAACACGGATGACTGGTTATTTTTTATGGACCTTAAAAAGATTCTAATCTAATAATGAATTCTCTTTTATGGCCATGTGTAAAATGCTGGATTCCAATACAGTCAAATTATTGTATTTGATCAAAACCACCATAGAATTCAGGTTTGACTTATGGAAATGTTTGTTTCTGGCATCTTGTTTGTTTTTTTTTCATAATGCTATAGAGTTGTATGTTCATCATCTGTAAGTATTGCATTACTTGTCCTCCACAGTTTATGATCATATTTTGAACCATTATGTGCCTATAATTTGGCTAGGATTATTTATGAAAATATTTTCAGTTTACATATTCAATAAATCAAACGTTCTAGTTACTTGAAGTTTTTTTTATTGAATATAATTACAGGGTGCCCAGTAAAAAAAAAAAAAAAAAGTAAATTCAAAAAGAAATTTATTTAGCAATCATGATTCATATACAAACTGAATAATCATCATAGATGTTTGAAATGTTTGCCTGAATGTTCAACACAAAGTTGTAAGCATGGTAACCAGGAGGCAGTAACTTTGCATATAGTGTCGAGAGGAATTTCATTCCAAGCTTCAGTTAAGTTCCACTTCAATGAATCAATATTAATGATGTCATGATGATGGTTTTGTGAGTTAGGAGTATACTCCAGATACAGTAACCCATAACCTTCAGGTCTGGGCTTTTTAGAGGGTTACTGAGATGGAACAATTAGAGCTGGTCTTGTTTCTCAAAAGAATAAATTTGCTGTCTTTTTTTTACTGGACACAATGTAGTTAAACTAGTGAGTGCTTTTTGGCATAAGTTCTGCTAACCTGAAAAATGCTTTAAATTCTTGTAATTTTCAAGCCTTTATTATATATATATATATATATTGTGTGTGTGTGTTGATGAATTAATTTCTGGGATTAGTTTTGGGTCCTAAAGTTCATGGTTCTTGCAAAAAAAAAGAAAAAAAATTATCATTATTGTTTGATATGGAACACTGTTCTAAAATTTTGTAAACCAGTACAAATTCTTCTTTAATGCCCATGTGTAAAATTCTAGGCCACAATACAATTTATTAATGCTAGTTGATCAACCGTAAGTTTTCATTTATTGCAAACAATGGCTACCTTGTCATGTGATCTCTGCTTTTTTTTTTTCCTCCCCTCCTGTAGATTTCTGATGCTTCTACACTCAGTTGGTCCACAAGAATTAAAGGGTTTGTGATCTGCTTTGTCCTTGGAGCAACTTTTTCAATTCTGGTAAGCATTTTTTTTTTTTTTTTTTTTTTTAACATTTCTTTCAATTAACATTATTGTTGCTGTTACTTTTTTTTCTTTTTATTGCTTTAATTAGTTTTGTATTGTCTATAAAATCCTTAAACATTGGGCATTTGCCTTTTACAACAAGTGCTTATGGTCACATCATGTTAAAACGCTGGTTCCGTACGAGGAAAGGATAAAAGCTAAACAGGGTTCTAGAAGATGGAGATTGATCTTGCATTTAAATTTTTTGAAGATAGTAGTTATCAGGGAAGCAAGGAAACAGAAGGGAGTTCCACTGTAGGGAAGTGCAATATAAGAAACTGTTGGAGTAGATAGAAGTGGTGGTTGCATTTAACTAATTCAGTGGCAAAATGATGGAACCTACATGTCAATCTAGTAGCATGCTCATGTAGTCCAGGCCCCATGGTGGGGGAAAGCCTAATGGCAGGCAAGAAAGTTTCTCTATCTTGGTTAAATGAGAGCAATTTAGTTTTGGAGCTATTAAAATTTATGAGTCATTTCCTGTCATCAGCATAAATGCTTACTTGGGAACTGATGACATCAGGAAGATCATTGATGAAGATCAGAAACAGCATAGAATCCAGGATAGAGCGTTGGGGGACACCCACATTTGTGTGAAAGGATCTGGAAGTGAGCCTGTTCAAAATGACCTTCATTTCATGATTTGATAGGAACAATGGGATTAAATGAAACAATCATGCAGTTGTAGCCCTGGAGCTTACATAGAAGACCAGCGTGTCAAACACCTTTTGAGATATCTAGAGCCACAGCTCAAGCTTCACTGTTATTATCAAGAGCTTGATATACATATTCAGTGATGGCCGTTAGTATATCAGCAGTAGACCTGGCAAAATGGAAGCCATATTTTTTGTCAGAGAGTAGGTTGTGAAAAGTAAGATGCTTAACCAATTTAGCATTGATTAAAACCTAAAATACTTTGCTGAAAAGCAGTAGGAGACTAATACGGCAATAGTGGGGTCAGAAGATTCTCCAGAGTTTTTAAAAAATAAGAACTACAGAGGATGACTTCCAGCAAGCCAAAAAGCAGGAAGTAGCCAGGCAATAGGTATAGAGTTTGGAGGAGAGAACTGGAGCCAGCTCGGGCACATTTCTTTAGGATGATGGCTGGCATCTCGTTATCATGGAACGAGTCCTAATCCACTTGTTGATAACAAATTCTGTTGGTAGGAGGTGGTTAATTCTTGTTTGAATTAGTCATTTGATTTTTTTCTCTTTGTCTCTTCCTTGAAGTAACTATTCCATCTGATCTTCTCTTTTTAATTTTCTAATTTCTGTGGTATTTGAGTTAAATTTCACGTTTGAGTCATTTATCATCTTGACTACAATTAATTTTAATATTTAACAGCCGTTGTGTGTTTGTTTTTTTGTTTTTTTTCTTTTTCACCATGCTGCTACTGACCACTTGCTCATGATTCTAGGGACAAACCCCGCCCCTTACTACCTGTTTCCACCTCTCCCTCTTAATTTACTAGAATGTCAGAAAACATGGCATAGTCTAAAAGTTCTGTGGACCACAGTTTGACTTTCCAAATAAGTTATGAGTATCCATACATTGATATAACTTAACTGGAAGTCTCATCCTGGACTGATTGTCTTTTTGTAAAGTTCTTTCTAAGGTTGATCTCTGCCATTTTTGACTCTTTTGAATTTCTAATGGACATTTTAACCTGAACGAAGTTAACACTTAGTACATCCTTTTCTTTTTTTTTTTTTTAAATAGGAGTAGATAGGCTTTCCTATTGACCATTTCTTGTTCATATGTCTCTGGGTTGCCACTCGTGACTTTTGCTTGGTTGTAAGCAGTGGATGATTTCTTTCTTTACACTGTAAGGTGGTGGGAGTTGAAGTTGAGGTATTGTCTGGTGAATGTAGGCTCACGATATATGGATGTCTTGAACCCATCCTCTGTTTGAGATATTAGTACATCCATGAACACTAGTTTGTTGTTGTTTTTCTCTCTCCATTGTGAACTTTATTGGTCCAGTAGTAGCTGGACTTCTTCCTGGTGGGGCCAGAGTATGAAGGTGTCATCTATGTATATCAGCCATAGGGTTGGCGTTAGTGATGTAGTTTCTAATGCCATTTCCTCAAAGTATTCCATATATAGGCTTTCCATTGCTGTGATAATGGCAAGCCCTCATCTTGTTGATGTCTGATGCCATTCCAAAGTGTGTTGTTTGCATACAGAAAGTCAGCATCTCCATCAGGTTATCTATTTGTATACTGGTCCGTTCTGTTAGGGATGAGTTCAAGGCCAGTCTGTCTCTGGCTACTAAGAGTGCCTCCTCCGTGGGTACCTTGGTGAACTACTGAGACATCCAGAAGAGGCTTGGCACATGAAACTAGAACAATCTACCCCAGTGGACAAAATAAAGGTTTTGGTACAAAATTCCAATCACTTGAAGACCAGAGCATACAACGGCTAAAACGTGAATATGGCAATGAAGATAACAGTCTGAATAATGTAAATGCAGCAAAGAGTTGTCGGAGATTTGCCGTTTGCATTGAAGCAGCTTCTGCAAGAGTTGCATCCCACTGGGGACCATCTTCCAGTAGCCCATGTTTGAAATAAGCTTTGCGGTATGTGCTGTAAATGTGTCCATTAAACCGTTTTAAGTTGTTAAAAACACTTTGGATCACTTACCTCATGTAATAGAAGCCAAAGTCAGAAGCACTCCTGTTGGCTGGGGTGGACTGTATATATTTTGTCAAGGTAATGGTCTAACTTGATGCCTGGATGTCCATGAACATCTACCTTTCTTTGTGTCCATCTGTTGTCTTTCCAAGTGTAGTATGATGGTACTTGAGGGTATAGAAGGGTCTGAACCAATGAAATTCTGTCCAAGAATTGATTGGATAATTAATGTTTGTGAGCAGGTAAAAGGTCATGTTCGCAGTTCACCCCCTTATTGTCAGGCCATGGACATGGAGGGATTAAGTGAGTAAACACTAAGGATGTGGTATAAACAGACCTTCACACAAATTAAGGGGCTGAAAGGAGAGGGGCATTATTAGTGTTTACATGCACAGGTCAAAGGTTGTGTTTGCAGTCATCCCTTTCCTATCAGACAATGCACAAAATGTATTAAGGAATATGGTGGTGAAAAGGGGGGGCATTATCATCATGGGTGGTAATAAGTGGGGAGGGGAAGTGAGTAAACATTAAGGATGTGGTTAAAGCAGTAGTTTACACCAAATAAGAGCCTGAAGTGGTGAGGGGTACATTAATAGTGTTCACGCCTACAAAAGTCATGCTCACAATTCACACCATGTTATCACACCATCGGCAGAGTAAAGTTTAATCAATTTAATGAAATAAATAGCAAATTTAAAGCAGATTAACTTTATACAAAATTAGTTAAAAACATTCCTGGAAACGTAAGTAATTTTGCAAAATTTGAAGCAAATCAGTTGGAAACTGTGGGAGTTAATGGCAAAAACGAATTTTATGCAGCTATTCAGTTCTTTTGCGATTAATGAGAATGACCTTAAAAAAGATTGGATCAACATGTTTGTTGTGTCATAAGTAATGATCATGTGAAATTTGGAGAAAATTGCTTGGAAAATGAGGGCGTTACGGGGTTTTCTAAACAGTTTTTTGTGGTTTTTCATTATGCACAGGGGTCCAGGAAAAAAAAAAAAAAAAAAAAGTTGGTCTTTACCACCCCTGGAGTATAAGCTATAAGTGTGTCAAGTTTGAGAGATTGATTGAAAAATGTGTAAACAAACATACAGACACACACAGACATCTGTTTTATTTTATATAATATAAAACAAGAACAAATGGAGTATAATTCCACTGTACATAACATTTTATTTAAGAGGGATCAATACAAAGTAGAACTAAATATTATTTTAGGATGTTAAAAATTGCTACAAAATGGCAATTGTTTTAACATCATAAATGTGTCTCCTCATATATATATATATATATATATATATATATATATATATATATATATATATATAATCATACAACACACTGGTGAAAAAAGTGTAATTTAGTAATGCCCAGATCATAAGGGTCTGTCTACAAAGTAGTACCTTCTCATTGTACTAAAAGAGGTAGGTTCAATAAACTCTGATGTCTGCTGCAAATATTGATGTAACTAGGTATATTTATTTTTGTACCCAATTGGGCACAGATATGGGTTTCCATGACCTTATGCTCTATTGCATCCCATATACCCATGGGAGGATTGATAAATAGCTATATACATACATACATTAGCAGCACTTCTAGGGTTTGCAAGATTAAATATTTATCCAGCTGGTGATATTGGTGTAACAGCTCCTGTGTTGAATCTGTATATTAAAGATCTGTATTTCTTCAATTAAAAACAAAAATTGTTTAGACATGCACAAAAACGTGACTCACTCTGAAAATAATGGAACAAATTATTTTTAATTCTTTTGAATTTGAAAAATTTTCTTTTTTTTTTAATTAATAATAATAATAATAATAATAAAAAAATTGGTGCCATATACTGATGGAAAACCTGACTAAATTAGCTGTCTAAGATAGAAAACTATTCAATTATGTGAAAAATTGTTTGGGTTGAGGATTTGTTGACTTTGGTCTCATACCAAAATTTGACTTTTTTTTTTTTTTGTAAATATGTTTTTAAAAATATTTGTGGCTTTGTTATGAACACTATAGATGATAACTACATCATATAACTGTTACCATTACAAGCATATCTCCATTTCATTTACAGGGATCCAGTTTGCTATTTGTGAGTAAAAAAGGATTAGTTCTTTTTGCTGTTTTTTATACCCTAGGAAATATTCTTTCACTTTCAAGGTAAGACATTCTTTTTTCTTGTATACCAATTTCATTGTCCTTCTTTAACATTTCAATCTTTTTATTCACAAGTTTTCAATGTCAGATAATTATAGGCTAGTAGATTTAAATTTTAAGTTTGCCTAAAATCCTAATTCAAAATTCTTTGTTCCAAGTGGAAGCAGTTAAACAGCAAAATGTAAGATTTTGAGTTTAGCCATATATTTTGATAAATGAATATTGTAATTAGCTAACACTTGTCATCTGAAATTGTGATTGGAATATAGGCAACACAAAGAATGAGTTCAATATTTTGAATAAACAAGGCAATAGGTTTAATCCAATTGAACACACCATATTCAGTTTCAGTTAAACGTGTTTATCTATCAATATTGTCAAATTGCAATATTTATAGATTATTCACTGCAATTGACTTCATTTCTGTACCCATGTCAGTGAATGATACAGCAGATGCCTTTCCTTAAATCATTTTTGCTGAATGTATCATCTGACAGGTTGATCTTCAAATAATTTGTTACCAATGTTGCGTGATTGCTGTAAGTCTCCAACAACAAAAACTTGATTGTATTTTCTGTCTAAATGTCTGGGATTAGAAGTTATCATTATTTACATTAGGACTATTGCCTTCATTTTTGTTTTTGTCATTCCAATGTTTCAGCTGTTGTATCATTATTTAAATAAGCACTAAAAAATAAGAACTAGATGAGGTATCGTATACATGGGCAGTGGAACAAGAACAGTCTACCATTCTGGGATTAAATAAAAGGTTCAGTTCTGAATTCTGAAGTTTACCTGGGTTGATATACACCTGATGAAGGCCAGAGGACACAACACCTGAGACTTTGTGATGACAACAAAGATGAGGACAATAGTCTGAATAGTGTAAATAATGATTGTTGCTTTTATTTTTTTTCTCTTCTTTCCCTCCTGGCTCTGGTATTGCTTGCTGTGTTATCATGCTGTGTTTAAAAAACAAAAACAAAAAACAAACAAACTTTTCTACTTATAAAAATTTGAAATATATATACATATTAATCCTATACATAACTGCTCTTTCTTTAGTTGGTAACCTGGGTTAAGCTTGGTTTCAGGGTATAAGTATCATAATCATTAACCTTGGGAGTCAAAACATAAGCAGTTTCTGCTTTATTTTGTCACAGGAGTTTTAAATATATAATATGCATACATATGAAATGGGCATATGGCCAAGTCTTTATAATGTTTGCTTTCTAACCATGAGACCCCTGTTTGAATCTTACTCGGATCTCTATTTGTCAGGAAAATGACTTCTTGATTTTATCAGTCTGTGGAGGTATTCTCAGTGTGCAGTTATGTTATAAAGTGCCTGAAAATTATAACCTGGATTAATTGCAAGCCTTGAGATTGAAACTAGGTCGATGGAATTGTTCATTGATGGTTGTGTTTGCACAAAGTACAAGTCACAGTGACTGAGGGCTTGAGTATACTGGCTTTGTTCAAAATGTTGATCATGTCAGAGGATAGATTTTCTCTTGGAAATTATAATTAAGGTCTGCTCAGAATAGTTGCAGTATAAACTGCAGGTGGACTGTTTGTGTTGAACAAGCACAAATGTGACAGAGCAGATGTCTAAAACAGAGATTGGTTAGTAGTCAGCCATTATTATATTACACACTAAAAAACAGCTTTTAACAAGTCAGTAATGGACTCAGAATTTTTTTTTTTTAATCTTGAACATACTGGAGGTAATTTTGCTTGCAAAGTAAAAAAAATTTTATCCTGTCACTGCAAGTAACTCAGATGAATGAATAATAGCAGGTTTGAATTTTACAGTTGTGTTGTCATATCCTGCTATGGAAACAAAATGACCATGACTAAAATTAAGTAGTACAGTAGAAGAGCCTTGAAAAACAATACAGTGGAAAAGAAAGTAGTGAATAATGCAGAGCGTTTAAGGTTAAACTGCTGAAACTCACAAGTTACATGATGGAGGTTTTGCAGAGTGAACTTGTTTTGTCAAACACATTCCATAACTGCTACAATGGGATTGAGATCTGGGGAGTTTGGTGACTGGGACAAAACAAGGAATTCTTCATGTCTGAAACCAATCCATACAACTCTTGCACAGTGACCTGCTATCACAAAACATTTAACACCAACATTTTGAGGCCATCAATTGTCCTTCCTTTCACCTTATTCAAGAGAAAGGGACTCCTCATGAGCAATTAAAGAGTGTCTCACAAAAGGAGTGGGTATTTAAGAATCTTCTGTTTATTAGGAATAATGTTTTTCTTGTAAGCCAATATTTCAATGTATTTCATAAGGCAAATCATCAAATGATTAGAATCATTTTTTTAAAATTTTATTGCTAATGTTTCATGGAATAAAATCAAAACAATTATTTCCTTCCTATATTAGATGACAGGATGAACAAATATCAACTTTGTATCTAAGAAGTACTAAATTTGGTAAATTATGATATTTTGAAATCAGTAAAAATTGACAGCAAATTTCAAGAGGCTGTAACTCCTGAACTAAGAGATGAAGGAAGTTGAAATGAAGGTTTTTTGTTTATGGTACCATAACCCAACATCTGTAAAATGTTCTCAAATTTGCTTAAAGTATAACTAAAATAAAATATGAAAGAGCAAGCAGCCATTTTAAAAATGATGGTACTGAGAAAAAAAATAAATAATAATTCTTTGATGGTGGGATTGAGAAATTTATATTTAAATATGTACCAGAAACCAGGAAAATATCCAAAATATAGAAAAAAGTAAACAAAGAGCTTTGGCTGATCTTTACCCAAACGTACCTCACACAGTGCACTATAACAATTTAAATGTACATAAAATTTTTTACTTTTATCTCATTTGTAATAAATTCGTTAGTGTTTGTGATTTTTTTTTTTTTTTTTTTTTTACACACTGTCAGCAGTTTGAATTACAAGTTATCAATTTCTGTTTTTAAAAAGAAATCTCCAATCAAACAATATAAAGAGTAAAACTGTCTGATTTTGAATATAGTAGCATTTTGGATTGAGTAATAAGCTGAGCAAATTGTAACAAAAATTTGCATTCTCAAACGTTATGGAGACAATAGGAATTGTGATTGTATAGCTAAGAAGATTCTCAGTCATGATGAGAGAGCAGTTGTCAGAGCAATGTGCCAAATTTCAATTTGTCCATGGCTCAAATGAAGGCAGAAACAGAATCAAGTTCATATAACATCAGATGATAAGTCAGGCCTCAGAAAAAGATTGCAGTGCCCAACTATGAAAATAATCCATAAAATACAGCAGTTTAGTGATGAAGGATTTTCTTCACATAAGAAATTCAACTTGCATGGTATTGCAAGCATATCCCAGTTATTAGAAGAAACCTTTTTTTAAATGTGCTCATAGATTGAGTGAGCTCATGATTTCAGGCACTAAAATATGCTGGGATACTAATTCCTCAGCATAACTAAATATAATTTGCCATCCATCTTATTCAAGAGAAAGTGACACACATTTTTTACCTGCTCCACCATTGATACATTGAAATAATTTAGTTTTACTAATTCAGATTTCACTTGACCCCCCCTTCTGCCAATTAGAATTTTTTAAATACATTTTCATTTTAAGAAATTTCAACTGCTCACTATCTAACTCCTATTTCTATCTCTTAAACCCATGGAACACATTTCTATTGAACTGCTTCATGTACATATTTATACTTTGTCTAACAAAAGAATGATCTTGTCTTCAGCACTTGCTTTTTGATGGGACCAATGAACCAATTAAAGAAAATGTTTGCCAAGACACGGGTTATAGCAACAGTGTTGGTCTTTGTAAGTAGCGAGATTTATTTTGGTGTCGTTTTTGCAAGTTTTGCTTAAATTAAAATTCTTTACTTCACTTTTTGCTATTTTTGAAGAACTATTTTTTTTTAATATGAAATTTTCAAGAGGCAAATTCTTTGAGAATTAAATTTTAAAATCACAAACATTGCTCTACTTGTCATTTCATCCATTTCTGTAATTTTATTTTGGGTATTTAACACTCAAATGGATGTTTAACAAACATCAGTGTAGCCGGTTGAATTCAATTTCTAACCAAGGCTGTTATTTATTTTATAAAAATGAATATTTTCATGGCTGCAGTGATGGATGTTTCATAAAAACTGACAGACAAGGCTTGTTTTTAATTTGAACTTGTTTACAAACAAAGGATTAGATATTGTCCATTAAAAATGACAGATAAGGGATTTTAATGTGCAATATCTTCCCTCATTGGACCCCAACATATAGCTTTTGTTTATAAGGGAGCATGTTTAAAAAAAAAAAAAAAAATTGACTGTTGTTAATGAAATCTATCAAAAGGTGTGTTGTCAACAATTCTGTTGAGGTAACAAATGCATATATTTTAAACAGAAAATAGTTGAAAAATAATCTCCACTATATTTTGAACACTTTCCTCAATTTAGCTCATTTGCAACCCACCTGAATATATAAGAGAAAAAAAACCCATACACACAGTCTTCCTTAGGAGTTGCATTTTATAGCAGCATATCTGAATGTAATTGCAGTAGTTTTTTTTTAACAGCAATAAAACAGCACAAGATATTAAATCTTTTTTCCTTGATTTTGGCAGGTGATGTTCATTTTGACACTTGTTTCAGCTTTTGCAGTAAGTATTGCTTGGTGCAATAATTCACCTTATCTCAAATATGTAGTGTTTTAAGATCATTAGCAATAAAATTCTCAGTGCAAAAGAACAAAACAGTTAAATTTTAATGCAAAAAATGAATGAAAAATGTCATATCTTGATATTTTGATCATGTTTTATTGAGAACTAGTGGTTCATGTTGGTAAAATGGAATTTTTTTTTTTTTTTTTTAAGCAATATAAATGAAGCTTTAATTTTATTCTTTTAAAGTGATATATCAACCTCTGGGAGAAACATTCTAAAGTGATAAAAGACTGGATTTCGATTCACCTTAGTGTGTATTACAATTAAAAGGTATAGTTTTCAGATGAAATTACACTCAAAAGGTTACAGTCCAAAAGGTTGTTTTCAGATTATCAAGGTCCTTTCTCGAGAAAATGATACACACCTCCAACAAATGATCCAAAATTAAATATGTCTATCCCTATGTATAATATGCATCTAAAAAATGAAGACACTTTGTCGACCATGACATTAAGAATAAATAAGTGACTAAAATAATGTTGAAAATTACCAGCGGTTTTCCCAATAAATATAACATTTTATTTTACTGCCAAAATGTCATCAAAACTTGCGAGTTATATTGCAAATTTTAAACAAAAAGTAATGGAATTAGCAGAAAGAATAGGAAGTATGAAGGCAAAGGAACTCATGGAAACGCATTTAAACTGGTGTCTTCTTTTCATGAAGAGGTTTGATATACCTATTAGAACATCCATAGCCCAGCGTTTGCCTGATGACTGCGAAGACAAGCTTTTGTTATTCAGCTAAAAAAAAAAAAAAAGCACAGCACAACAATCCTTTAAGATGTATTGGAAATAAATAAATGCAATTACTGATAAATGTATATTGACAAAAAAAAATTATTGTTCGATTTAAAATGAAAATTGGGATACGTATTATAAATCAATAACGAAAAAATATTTTCGTTTAAATCTATAACACGCACTCCCTACTATCACCTGTAATTTACAGTTTAAAAAAAAAAAAAAAAAAAAAATTTTTTTTCTAGAAATTACCTTCTGTACAAAAGGGGAAATAGTTATTTATTGCCATCTAAATGTTTTACTAAGCAAATAAGGGAGGGTACTCTGTATTTACCATAAGTATACATTTTAAGACACCTTAATTAAATACATCTGGGCTACTTAGAGCTTATATATATATATATATATATATATATATACAGACGACATAAAAAAATCCTATTACAGATATAATTTAAATGCTATAATTTATTTTCCAGATTAAAAACTCTGGGTTGGCTATTTTGTGTTGCATTCTTCAGTTCTTGGCCCTCACTTGGTATTCATTGTCTTACATTCCATTTGCAAGGTAAATCTGTTTTTTTTTTTGTAATTTGTCAAATTGAGGATTAACACCTTTTATGTAAAGAAAATGATAAATTAATTCTTGAAATTTACCCTAAATGTTAATCTTTCTTTCCTGTTTAAATTTAGTGCCATTTACAACCAAATAAACTCAGCTCCCTATCTTATAATTTTGTCATACCCTCAGCACGAGTTTTACCCTGCCAATACCTTGTAAATAATGAACTATTCAGTTTTCATTGCACAGAATGATAGAAAAGACAGATACTGCAGAGAAGTTTCTTTGAATATTTTATCATAGAACATGCCAATCATTAACTTAATAAAATAGTAATCTTTTAAATGTCCCATAACCCCAAGTAAATAAATAAATCTACTTCTGAGTGTTAGGACTTTCTACATCAATATACATTTGTGAATTTTTTTTTTTTTTGTTTGTCATAAAACAATTAGTAAGTGCATGTTTGGGCCGGAAGGGCACAATATTTAAACCTGTTTCCTGGTAATTGGAAAAACATTTTTGAAACTTTTTTTTTTTTTCCAGAGATGCTGTCAAGAAATGTTTTGCTTCATGTGTGGAGTAAAGAGTCAAGTCTATTGGAGCAAGTCTTGGATCAGAAATTTGTGGGTAGGGAATTTACTCCCCCACAACTCATCTATGGACATATCTTGGAGTTGTGTGGCAGTGCCTACTTGGTATTAAGGAACATCATCCTGTTCTCCCATTGGATCACAAACTCACATCATAAGTGGTTTACATTCACCATTATGTCAACTCCAAATAAATTATTTCTCATCTCTCTACAAAGATAAGAGATTTTAAAAGAGGAATTTAAAGAATAAATCTGCATATTTTTTGATAAGGGCTGTTTTCTCAAGATTGTATCATTTTTGACATTTATGCAATACTAATGCCTCATTCAAGAAATGTATCTCTGTAAACAAGTTTCAATAATTGGCAAAAAGCCTTTTGTCTATGCTTGAAACTTTCTTTAAATATTAATATTTTTCATAATTTGAAATAAGGTTTCCTCTTTATGGGATAAAAATCACAAAAGCTTAAATATAATTTTCTGATAAGACAAAGTAAACATTGTTCAGGGAAATAAAGAATTTGATAGAAATAAGTTAGTCAAAGAAAAAAATTTTTTTTCAAGAAATATCATTTATTGAAATCAATGTCAACTCCCCACATTTCAGTTGGTCATGTATACAGTAAGGAGGTCCTGACCTTTTGCTAGGAGATATCTCACAGTTCAGAAGCATTCACGCATATTTACCAGTCAGGCTGACACTATCTTCAAATTACTGAATGAGTTTTGCATCCAAAGACGGAAAGGTTGCAGGTTCCAGTAGAAATTATTCATCAGGACCCAAAGGTTTAACAGTCAGACCACGACGAATCTGACCCCACCCAATCAACCTAAAAATAAAATAAAAAAATGGTTCATATACACAACAGTGCCTTAATAACTAAATTTACTGTGGAGTAGAGGATTTTAACTTCAGAGATGAAAAGTGGCTGTCTTTCTGTGAGGAGAGCATTACATGTAGTCAAGAAAGTTAAAACTATGATTTTAACATGTCCACTTATAATAAAACTAATTTTAGCATGTGTGAAAAAAATTTACAAATATTTTGGTTCATTAATAAAACCAGTTGGGGTTTCAACTTACCGCCAATGTTTCTCAACTCTTCGGCTGAGTGCAATCTTCTCACCAATTTCAGTGCAAACTGGAGAAGTCAATACAATTTTGGCCAAATCAGCCTTCACTGCCAGAACACGGCCACCAGTGGACAAGGAACCAATGTTGACCATCAATGTCTCATTCTTGGCAAGTTTCTGTACCTATGAAGAAAAAAAAAATCACATAAGTGAATCTTTTTTGAACTGCAGAAATGCATAATTGATTGGGGAAAACAATCACTTTCCAACCAAAACAAAATTACAGAACTTTTGAAATTCCCAACATTTATTTTCTTACTTTGGCTCCCTTTTTGTCTCCTTCTGTCTTCACTCCTAACAATCTTCTCAACAAGAAATAGGAAATTTCCAATTCTGTGTAAATTTCTGGGAGGATCTTAACAGCTCCCAGTACATGACCAACCATTCGGTCAGCACGGCATAACGTAGGGTCCATCTTTGTACCAACACCTGCAGTGTAAAAAGATCAGTAAGAACGTTTGGGGAGAATCAAATTGGTTCAGCAGTATTTTATTAACTTATGATTTAAGCATTTTTTTTTTTTTAATTAATTTTTCTGAAATGGTACTTGTGATCAGAAAGAAAATGGGCTTTTTTTTTTTAAATTTTAAATCAACAGTTGTACAGTAGTATTAGAACTAGCAACCCAACTTTGTTTGTTTACTTTTTTAAAGTACAAAGCAAAAACTTTATTTTCTAAATGAATAGATTTCAATTATTTCAAGATGAAAGTTTTAATGGCGATGGGCACGAAATGAAGTACATACCAATCAATCCTCCAGGGACAGCATATTGTAAATCGTTCTGTTCAGCAAAGAGAGATAGGATCCTAGATAGGATTGGTTTACAAGACAATTGTCCATCTTCCTCTTTACTTACAATTCCAGGTCGTACTTCTATTTCCTGCCCAACCTGGAAAAAGAAAAAAAAAAAATCTGTTATAACAAAATTTGTGGTCTCCACTTGTCAGATTGGATTTACTGGCTTTATTTCCAAAACAACCATTACAGTTTTATTCGTTATATAATGGTGAAGTCACAGGATCAACATTTCTTAGTGCATGTGACGACTGGATGGGGATTTGAGGCAGGATCTAGTTGTGAGTGGCCATTGATATATTAAGATATGGGACCCTGAGATAATTGGAATCTGGTTGAACTTAAAAGAAGCAATAAAACTTAGATATTCCTAGGCTTACACATTTACAAAGAGACGTATTGATTAAGTCCCTGCTCTCAAAAATTACCCAGCTGGGCTTGTTTCTGGGTTAATCTCATTCTGCAAGTTACGCTATTTCATTGCTAGATGATGACAAACATTTCAGTCTGGTCTGGCCCAAGTCACTAGGTGGATGATTTTTGCTGGCTAGGGGCCAGTGACTTCTATTGATGGAAATGACTGGAGTCTTTATGAAATTAGATGACAATCCGTTTTGTCTGGATTTTTGTTCGATTGTAGTCAGAATCCATGCCACTGTTAAGCTTTTGACAAGCACACACAGCTTTTAGCAACAAAACCCTACACAAAAGGTAGGGAACTTCTGATACGTTCCCCCATAGCACTACTATTTATAGCCTATCAAAATAAATATCACTGCCTCAAGTTGCTCTTATGTCAAGTAGAATGTAATACAAGTTAAATAACGTTACATACTCCTATATGCATGTGCATGTATCATTGTAATAAATCTGTAGTTGAGTTGACAAGTGTTTGTGATTTTCCTTAGCATGTGCTCTCATCTGTGGTCATCATGGCCCCCACAAAGGAATTCAAATTCCGCACCATCAGGAACACTAATATCTGTAGGAAACCTATACAAGTAGATGAGAATATGGTGATGGCATCAAATAACTTATGATTTATGGGGTGTTCCTGTGAATTGCTACATCTGGTGCTGTTGTCGCGCAGGTCAACAATTGGAGTTTTATAATTACGCAATATCTTATCACATTGAACTCTAAATAAAATTTAACCAATGTAATTTAAATTTTCCTTCAAAGAATTTTGAAATGACACTAGTTGATTATTTAAAGACAACAGAAAACCATTTCAGAATTCCAGATAAGGCTTTCTTTAAAAAAATTTTTTTTATTTTTTTTTTATTTTAAATAAAACTAAATCCATGCAGGCTCCTCTTTCATGTTCTTATATTGTCAAGTGGAAACTACAAGGCAAAGAGTCTGCAACCAACCTTCAGAACTCCTTTTAAGATACTGCCACCAGCCACACCACCTTTGACTTCATTCACTTCACAGCCTGGCTTGTTCACATCAAAAGACCGGATCACTAAAGAGATTAAAAAAAAAAAAAATTCAGTTCAAAGAATAAACAGAAGTTTTTGTTAATAAGGAGCATTAAAATGAAACTCAAGAGTTGATTATTAATTCCAGATTATGTTCATTATGCCACTATGATATCAGTGGTGTATTTTTATATTCAATGTTAAATAGACACTCCTTCCTTAGAAGCTGTTTAGCCCAATAAGATAATTTCAATTTTTTTCTCCTCCCTCAAAATGACAAAGTTATGAAAGAGACCAAACAAGCTAAGATTTATCGTTCAAGAGCAAAGAAATTGATTGATCAGGGGTTTTACAAAGGGGAAATTGTTTTATGTTTTAGGAATTTCTTAGTCTATTCAAAGAAATGAAATTTGAAAATCATCTACCAGACAAAAGCTGATTCTTTTAAAATATTTTTTTCTATGAAATATTTCATTTAAACTTCAATAAATCCACTTAGCCAATCAAATGATTCAGGGCCTAATCATTTGATAGAGATTTAATTGGCTAAATGAATTTATTAATAATGATTAATGTTATTTGTAAACCAAATAAATAAAATTTACTAGAATCTTATTTTACCAAAACATTTTGAAAAAAGAAAAGTAAAAACAAACATTTGGTAAATACTTGTGATAAAAAAGAAAAAGTGAGATCTGATACAATTCTGACAGTGGCAAAAGAAAAGAGAAAAGCATAGAAAAATACACAAAAAAATGTTCTACTTACCAATGAGTCTTGGTTCTGATATAAAATCCCTGATAGGTACTGGAATTTTCTTATGTATATATTCACAAACTACATCAATATTGTATTTCAGCTGTGCTGACACAGGGATAATGGGAGCACCTTCAGCTATCGTACCTGGCAAATGAAGTAGGAAGAAGAGCTTTCTTAATATCACAAATTTTGAATGCCAACTTCAGAAATGTTCTAACCATAAGATAAAAACTTTGATAAATATAAAAAAATTTTTTCAATGTGTTAAAAAAATAAAAAAAAAAAAAAAAAAGAAAAAAGAAAGGCTAATCTGATTAATTGTATGAAGTGAAACTTAAAGAATTTATTTACAGTAACTTTTTTTTTTTTAAGGAAAAAAAAAAAAATTTCATGTAAAAATCAATTTTCTTTACATGCTAGAAATAGCACAACCCTTTCCTTATGAGCTATCAAAGCAGACTAAAAAGACTTGCAAGAAACAAAAAAAAAAAAACGAGTAGATGGAATGCTCACCTTTGACAAAAGCTAATATTTGCTCGTATTGCTCTTTTGCCTGACTTTCCTTGACCAGATCTATTTTATTTTGCAATATAATTATGTGTTTTAATTTCATTATTTCTATGGCTGCCAAATGTTCTGAGGTTTGGGGCTGTGGACAAGGTTCATTGCCAGCTGAAAAAGACAAAGCAATTACGTATTACAGAATCAATAAAGTGAGATTTTGTTTTGCTCCCTTTTATTCACTTGTTAAAAATTTAACTAAATCATTAAATATATTGATATGAAAACTATTTATACATTAGATACACACACACAAAAACTCATAGTATAATGGATAAAGTATTAAAATTTGGTATAACAAAGAAAATATTTGGCAAACTTCACAAAGAAAAAAATAAATGCATCAACAACATTAATACAGATGTATTGTCAAAGCATGACATTTAACATAACATAATCAAGTGCATAGCCCAAAAATCACTTAGCTAATTTACAAAATATCTTGGTATTGATAACTTTTTACTTAGTGAGGAAAAATAATTTAGAAAAATATGAAACTTATTGCTTAATTATTCATTTATTCAAAAGCAGAAAATATAGAATCAGTTCCACTGCTTTTTAAAATACATTAAGAAAGACCATCTATTAATTTCATTTTTGACAAAATTCTAGAAATTTTTCTTCATTTATTTCAATGTTCAATATGGCAACAAGTATTTAAACAACTGGGTTACAATCTGCTTTTATATAAAATCAACATATCTAGGTGTATCTGAATCAGCTGTCATAGTAGCAGCAGAAGTTATGTCATTCAATGTTAAAATATATTATGGAGGCTGCACAAAACCACAATATTTGGCAATGTTTAACTTTTGTGCCTGAAGAAAAGAAAAAAAAAGTTTCAAAAGGATCATCATTCCCTTGTCACCGCTATTACTGTATGCCTTTTTGACTCCCTCAGCAATGTTTATTTACAAGATTATAAAAATATGTGAACCAAGTACAATGCGATTATTTATTATTTACCTTTTATAAAGAAATCTTTATTCAAAATTTATAATTAAAAAAAAAAAAAAGACAAAATTATCAAAATATATAAACTGACTACAATGCAATATTATTTACGATTTTATAAATGTGTTTCATCCATCTGATGAAACTAATCCCCCCCCCAATGTCATACTATTTTCCTAAATACTGTTTGTTGATATATAAAATTATACATTGTTATATCATAACTATGATAACAAGTTTGTTTTGTTTTTTTTAATCTAATCGTGTTTAATGTCTTGTCAATTCTCAATAAAGAAAACGAATAAATTCACTTCCATGTTCGAGTTTTATTTAAATTCTAATCATCACTTTTTTGAAATGTGAGTCATTGCTGAGGGAGTCAAAAGTATATATAATAATAATATAAAGGAAATAACTGTCCTTTTCACAACCCTTTTTTCTTTTTGCAGGCACAAAGGTTAAATATTGATGAATATTTTTTTTTTTTTTTTTTTTTTTAAAATCAAAATTTACTGGCCTGGCCTTACCCAAAATATAGAATTGATCCGATTTGCTGCATATGACTTTCATTTCTGAATTTTTTTTTTGTGACAGTTTTACATTATATATAATGCAAAACTGGGCATTTGTTTAAACAGAGAGAAGCTCTGTAGCCTCTACTGCTTGCAAGGTCATGTTGAATATAACTGCAAATTTCATACAATTCAATACTTTAGATTAGACAGCAAAATTATTTATGAAAGCATCAGAGATCAAACAAAATTAATTTTTACATTACTTGTACATAACTAAAATTCCTTTCCGTACTAACAATGAGTTTAAGCTTTTGATCTGAGGAAGTCTTATGCAAAACTGGTTGTAAATTCTTCAGAAATAAAGGGGGCAAATTATAACAAAAATAAAGAAGGAAGTGATTTGCTGGGGAGCTGTGATGTCAGCCATTTGACTATTTACTATATTTTTTCCTGACTACTCCTTACTACCCATGTAACTCGACAAGTCTTACTTATAGCTGCAGTTAGCAAGTGTGTGTTCATGAGGAGCCAGTTTCATTCAGGTGTCTGGTTATAATTCACTTTGCATAATAAGACTTGTGGAAGTGGTTTACTGATTTCATCCTCTAAATTACATACAGAATTTTTAACTTTATAAACAATCAATGTGGAATAGTATAATAAAAAAAATATCTTTTTACTGAATTTTAAACAAGATTCCATCACACATAGACCAGTTTTTCTAGTGGTAAGTAAATGTTCCTGGTTTGGCTTGATCTTACTAGTGAAAACTTAAAATCAGGAGTTCAAACCTAGACAATTCCAAGTGCTAATTCAATTTATTGTAATCAAATATTTTTTGCTTCTCAATAGACCCAGATAATTCTGGTATGCTAGTAAAATTCATATTACTAAAATCAGCTATTTTGGTTAGAAAAAAAAAATTTAAAAAACTGACCAATCAGGAGGAGAGCGGCATCCATGACAGCGGCACCGTTCAACATAGTGGCCATAAGAATGTCGTGACCAGGACAATCCACAAAAGACACATGCCTGCAAACAAAGTGACATAACAAAAATCATGATTTGTTTTTTTTTTCTTCTTTTAGTTAGCAAAATTTTCCTGTATTATTTTCCTCAGAAACTTAATATTTCAACAATTATCAAGTGACCTGTGCATTGTTAAAAATTGTTAGGAAAAATTGTAAGTATCATTATCATTTTTTAAAAAGATGGCCTCCTTAAGAAAGGAATCCTGTTTTGTTTAGAGCAGTAAAATAAAAGCCACTGTTGTGAGTCATTTCAGCAAAGTTTACAGTTTTTGCAAAATATGTTACAACTTTTGAGTGTTATAAATTTGTCAAAGTGAAATCTGCATTTAAAATTAAGCAATTTGTTTTAAACAACAAAAAATAAATAAAAATAAAAAAAAAAGGAACTTACCCCCTAAGCAGAAAAATGAAGGTAGTTATTGAAGTCCAAAATTTTGAAGAAAAAAAAAAAAAAAAAAAAGTTAACTGGCTTACCTTAATAATCTGAATTTTCCAGTGCATCCTGCACGGTCACAAGGAAATACATCTTCTTTGGCACTACCACAAGATCGGTAATTACCAGGACGTGGACAGGCTTCAGAATCACATTTGTAGATCTGAAGAAACAAGATGCACATGTCCATGAAAGTTTAATAAATGTTTAAATTGCAAAATGATACATGTCAGCCAAGAAATTACTGGTGGTTAGAATTTGAGGAGATTTTACAAATAAATAAAAAGTAAAAAAATAAAGCAACAAATAACTAATAAAAGTTCAAATGACATATTTCTATGACAAATTTTGTAGATACCATTCTGTCAAGCTTAGAAATCTATTAATCCCATTATTCAAATAGATTTTTTTTTACAACATAGCAAAAGTCATCTGAACTTATCCATTATCTCAATATGCTTGAGCAAAAAGTTGTTATCAGGCATGTACAAAAGTTCCCAGAAAAAAAAAAAAAAAAAAAAGTGCTTAGAACTTCAGTACAGCTATCATTATTTAACATGGCTAAATATTTCCCTAAATGTTATTCACCCAAATTGTTAATTTTACAGTTTTTTTTGTTTTACAAAACATGACTTGAGACCACTTATATTTTTAATCAATAATCTGATTACAGATTAATTGAAAGAAGCCAGAATTTTAGTAATCTAAGTTTTTCTCATACCTTAGCATTAGCATATCCAAGTTTGATAGTAATATTTCTTTCAAGTTCATTTTTGAAACGAACAGTCTGAAATAAGAAACAATATAAAATTTGATAAAACAGCAACAAAAATTTTTTTTTTTTTCAAAAATTACTTAAACTTGATTTTTCCAACCAAATGCTTCAGAAAAATTTTATTTTCTATTAATGGATCAGTGCAGATTTCTTTCAACAAATATTTCAGTAAGAATGTTTTCCTAAAATAAATCCAAATGAAATTAAACAGTTCAAGCTATTTTGAGAAAAATGAAGCACATCATTAACAAAATAAGAAAAAATTCCATATGATTATCACTCTCAGTTTCTGACTTAAAGCATTGATACAATTTCCATAATTTAGTAAATTGTTTTCATGGAATGTTATTTTCCGTTTACTCTCAAATGCTTAATAGAAGAGGGGGGACATTTTTCTTTTTCTTTTTTTTATACAAAATGATACATCAAATGAATTTAATACAAAATTTTCATTTTTTAAAGGATAAATTCCAGAATCAAGGTATTAGAATTTTGAATAAACTGTAATTTTACAAGTTGCTTGTTAAAATGCTGACTTATCACTGAAAGTATTGACTATTATCAATAAACCTAACTATTTATTTATTTCCTTTAAAAATATCCTTAATGTGATTTTTTATTTTATGTATAGTTTTGAGTATCAATAAAATTGCTTCCCATGAACAAATTGTGATGCATTTTTTATTATTTTGGCTTGTATTTAAAAATTAAAACAATCTAATGGAATCCTTCTTTTAATGTCTTTGGTTGAGTTCATTTGTTCAGTTAAAAATTTTGTAAACCATTTTTAAGGGCCACAGCATATAAAATTTGTGGAACAAAGGTAAAATGAAGCCAAAAATATTTTTCTCTATATAAAATTATAGGGGAGAGATACCAACTTACAGCTTCAGATTTTAAGTATCAAATTCAGGTGTTGTTAAAAAATGAAAAATATCTGATTTCGGCATTACAAGTTGTTCTAGAAAAATGTTTTAACCCTAGACAGAAGTTTACCTATAAAATGAAACTGTCACATGATCTTCAAACAAGAAGATGTGGTAAAAATATTTTTTTTTTAAACTGACGTTATGAAAATAGACAATTTTAAAGATGTTAAAAATGCTAGTAATTTTCAAACAGTAATACTGATATTTCTATAATGAATGAATATAGCTACTGCAAAGTTTATTTGGTCATAAATGACAACTGATTCTAACATACTTTGTAAATGAGAACCTTTCAAAGTGGACAGCATCTTTTAGCAATTTTGCTTTTTTCAGGTTCTTATAAAAATACATAACACACACCTGAACTGTTTATACTCTTGTAATCTACAATATATATTAATTATTGGCAAGTTTCAAATCTGTACATGCAATATCCTTGGAACTACAAATGTCAAAATTTCATTGAAAGCTTTATAGCAAAAAAAAAAAAAAAAAAAAAAAAAAAAAAATTGCAATGACATTTCAAGATACTCAGATTCAAAAATTATTAAAAAGATAGAGATCTAATATTTGGGATTTACCAATAAGTTAATCAAGGAACACCTGGGAACTTTCCCAGATTTTCCCCAAGCGTCACCTGTGACTGATGGTTTATTTGCGATGGAATGGACATTGATTTCTTTTTCTTTTTTTTTTTTAAATGGATTTAAAAATGGTAGTTTTGTTCATAATATGGACAATCTCAACTTTTACAAAGTTATCTGGACTTTTTAAAAATTATATATATATATATATATATATATATATATCTTCATTTGCACTTTAATGATAAATCTTTTTTGTAGGGGGAGAAAAATGTGGAGTCAGCTGTTTTTGTACTGATAGAAATGATGTAAGCAGTTTCAAACCTGTAATTTGTAAACAAAGTAATTCCAGATAACTCTGGGATTGATTTTACATTGTATCAATATTATAAACAGGACCCCCTCTACATTTGGGAAAAAAAAAAAAAAAAAAAAAATTTTTTTTTTTTTTTTTTGGATTCTGACAAATGTCATGGCTTAAATGCTAATCTGCAAAAATAATTTCCAAACAAATTTCCCCTATTTCTTCAGTGGGCCAGTCTAAGTAGAAAACTTCTGCCCACCTCTAATTATATAAGACCACCTTCCCCTAGTATTAGGCCCCCAAGAATACACAATAATAGCATATATTACCAAACATTATAGTCAGTTGTCATCTACTGTGCAATGTAATTTCAAAATTCCATCACCCAAATTTACAGTAACAAAAGTCATGCTATAACACGAATGGAGGGGGGAGTGTTATAATCATTAAGGCTTACAAATAATATAAGGGTCTTATTTTGATGTGAAAGAACATTCAAGAGGTACATGCTATTACCAACCTGAACACCTGATATAGCCTTTACAGCTGTTGATTTTCCATGGGCTACATGACCAATGGTACCTGGAAATACAAATAAGATAAGTACGTGTATACAATTACCACAAGTTACAGAATCTCCTGTTTTCTTTATTACACGGCACAGTTACTCAATATAACATTTTCTGTTTGGATGATGTAAAAAACTTGAGACAAAAGCTTAAACCATATTTTTCTTACTCTTAATTCTATAAGCAGAGTTAATTGTTTTCCATGTTATATTTTGAAATTATTTAAAAAAAAAAAAAAATAAAAATAAAATAAAAAAAAATAAAAATGGATAGACATGATATGTATTCTAGATATGAAGGATTTTTTTTTCAAAAAGGAAAAATGAATTTAAGGACTTGATTTTTATAAAAATCAGACACACACATGCATGCTACTATATAAACTGAACATTAGAAAATAAACCCAGAACTTGGAATCAATTAACTTACCAATATTTATAGTTGCTTGTCGACTGATAACCTCATGTAAAAGAGGTGTTAATGTCTTCACATTCTGTAAAGAATAAGAATCACAATTTTAAATATTCCCAACTATTTAGAAGGCAAAAAGGAACTAAAAATTTGAATTTCATAGATTATAGCTTTTTCACCTAATGTGAATTTAAATACAAAACTAGTCTTTAATAAAGAAAGACTGTAGCTAAAAAGAGAACTGTACAACAGCAGTGACAGTCACCAGAGTACTAGTATTATTACAACTGAAACTGTAAAAGTGTTGGTAACCAGAACAAAAATTTTTCAATTGGCAGTAGTGGCATTTAGTGACAAGAGTATGAGATTTAGTCAATTAAAGAGAAAAGAGAGGGAGAGAAAAGAGAGGGAGAGAAAAGAGAGGAAAAAAAAAAAAAAAAATCACTGATGCATGAAGTTAAAAAATGAATAATTCAAAATAATTTCAAGTTGATACAAGTTTGTATCAAAAAAGTAAAAAAATTCCAGCATTATATGAAATTGATAAGCTCTGAATTTCTTGTGGGTTTTTTTTTTATACTGGTTTCAAATTAACTGCCAAATATGTTATTCCTGTCCAGTAGAAGAGAATGACAAGAAAGAAAGCAAACCTGCCCAAAAATAATTCTTTGGAAAGTACTTAAAATAAATTACAAATCAAAAGCATTTCAAAAATTTATCAATAATTTCAAGTATAGTTCTATCTATTCTTGGTGTATTTAATTTTCTTAGCAATCTTAACATTTTTAATATGAAACAAGCAAAAAAAAAAATAAAATAAAATAAAAAAAAAAAAAAAAATTGTCTACAGGTGAAAAAATAGATATTCTAAGGAACTATTAAAATGTTTGATAAAAAAAGACAATATTGGTCAGCCGAAAAGAACAAGGAAGTCTATGTCCAAAATTTAAATTCTTAGTGATTGAAGAAAAGGTGTTTTTAAAGATATACAAAAAAAAAAAAAAAATTTTTTTTTTCAAGTTTAAAAACTACAATTAGAGTTTAGATGTGAAAGACCATGAAACTTAATTTCTGTGATGAGTTATTTACATGTAAACTATTGCCCTTCCCCTTTTTCTTAAAAATCATTAAAATGTTTCAGACATTGTACCCTTTGGTTTTCATCAGGTGCATGTCAATCCAAGTAATCTACAGGAAATTCCAAAATTAACCCTTTATTTAACCTATGGGGATAGATTGCTCTTATTCCACTGTCCATTTTCTAGGGATAATTCATTTAGTTCTTTTCCTACTGTTCAGTTATTACCTCTCCATTTTCACAGAGTCCAAGTACACACTGCCTGGCCCAGGGATTCAACTCACAATTACTCTGCCACCAATTTCATGAACTTTAATCCACTAGTACAATCTATGGGACAATAACCTAGTTGTGATAAAAACAACAAAGATGGAGACAATAGTCTGCATATAAATAACCATAAAGCTTAGCACCAAATTCTGAATCTAAAATTTGTTGTGATCAGAGTATTATTAATGTATCATCAAAAACAATATTAATATATGATGAAATGATTTTAATTATTTCTGCATAAAGCAGCATCAGTCCTGTGACCAGGCGTGGTCATAGGGTCAATGTGCAACTGACCAGATTCCTCCACATATCTGGGCTGCAAGCGAGAGAGGGTATTCATTCATGTGTAGCATGCCTTGGTTAAGTAGACCTGACATAGCACCCCACCCCCCACCTTGCAATATCATGTCATCACCACAATGGCTGCACACAGCTTTGGAGGTCAGACAACATTGTGCTAGATTGCCACTGACTATTCAAGAAGAATCATCTGTCCTTTGACAGATCTTTTTTAATCCTACTGAATACCTAGCTACCCTCCTCACCAGAAAAGCCTGGTGGGGGAACCACATTAGTCGTGGATGACCTGGCAATGTGGTAACATGTACTTGGTTATATGATACTAATAGTACTTGTAGAGTGACCACACACAAAAGCCTAAAATACACAATAGAAATTGTATCTATTGAAACCTTTAACCTGGTACAGTAAAAAAAGGTTAGAAATTCATTAAGAAACTATTATAAGGTGAATAATGGCTATATAACAGGTAGATGTGTTTTTAATTTTCATTTTTAAAGCACTTTAACTAATTAGCACTGAGTAAATAATCCTAACATTTAAATAACAAAAGAACACTTAACAAGTTCACCTAATGTAGATTTTGTTGAGACATTGATTTTGAAAATGCAAAAAAAAAAAAAAAAAAAAAAAAAAAACTGCCTCTATTGTTTCTTAAAAAAATAACAATTAAAAAAAGTAGTTTTCTTTTAATAGGCATCATAGTAATGCTATACCTGTAATAATAAAATGCTATTTATGTGAAATTTAATTTCAGGTTCAAGTAAATTTACTGTTAATTTTTTTTTTGTCATTACCTATGAGGACACAGGTGATCATGGCTCTCCACAAATACCGTTTTCTTTGTTATCTGAATTGCTACTATTTCTTGGGATAGTGGAATCCTTCTAAACTCGTTGCCACCTAAGGAGAGAGAGCCCAGTCTATCCTACAATTTAATTTAACCTATAGAGGGAACGATGGATTAATGCCTTTCCAAACGACTAATGCGAAAATGAACGCAAACTAGACCAAAATTTGAACTAGGGTCTGCGCCGATAATTGTTACACTACTCGCAAAAATTTTAAATAATATTTCTTATAATGCTAAATTCTAAATTGACATATTAAAGATCGGCTAAAGATCATAGTTGTTTTTGTTTTACAAGTCACAAGTGGATGCATAAAAATCTGTCTTAATGTCGATAAAGCTAAATAGAAAAAAAAAAGCTTTATTTTCGCCCATAGAATCATTTAGCTGTGTTGTTTGTGAAAATAACAGTTTAGTAAGTATACGATGGTTTCTAAAACAAATCAAAACTAATTGGAACACACAACCGGCAATAGTGTTTTAGACGGACACAAGCACGTGGTAAGGTGTAAAATTAGTGACGAGAAATCTCAGCTGCTGGCCTAATTTTCTCAAAATGAACAAGAGATGTAGTCAAACTAGCTTAAAAAACAAAAAAAAAAACAAAAAAAAAAAAACGGAATAGGTACAAAAAAAATGATAAATCATTTAAAAATAAGGGATTTTGATATGTGGTACCTCCACTTTCAATGAGAGAGACCTATTTTATTTTTTTATCAGTAGCAGTGAGAGAATTTGTCATGAGGAAATATGTTTTTTTTCTTAATGATTACTCCCGATTTGAAGCAAAAAAAATAATTTGATCATTTTATTATTGATTCGTAACGTTCAGTTATGTTTGACGCAAATAAAGTTTCCTTGCAAAAATGAGAACTTGCATATTTTAATTTTAAAATAAATGAAGACCAAACCGAGGATACTTTCGTTTCTTTTCATAAAACGAAAAATTTGTATCATTTATTTAAGAATTTATTTAATTTCGTAGATGAAACAAGTTATATCGGTAATTTTTCTGAAGTTTTTATTCGATATACTTTTTTTTTAAGTTAACAAAACTAGGTGTTGACTTTTTAATGAAAATACCACCAGAATCAAACAAAATAAAATATCAATAAACATAACATCTGAAATTGCAACATTGAATACTGGCTTGTTGAGAATAAGAATTGAGCAAAATTCGTTGTCTTTAAGCCCAGATACAAAGACTAAGTGAAAGAAAGTAGAAAAACTGACACTTTGTTTTAAATACGAAATTATATACTAATTAAAAAGCGGCAGTAATAAATAATCTTTTAATAAACTATTTTAATTATCGTCGTAAAATAGATTTAAAACAAGATTTTAACATTTAATTTATCAAAATAATTATTTCATTAAATGACTTGTTTATTAATATATTTTTCGATTGCTTTTCCCTAACTTTCTTAGTTACAATTTATTACAATTTTTCCGATCACAGAAAAAAATAAAAAACAAAAAGGAAAGACCGATTGTTGTATGAATTGTAAATGATTTATTTTACAATTCATACAACAATCGATCTTAGATTTATAAATCTAACTAAAGAACGGATAAGGTTTGTTAAAATTTTACAAGGATAAAATTTTACTGATTTTTATTAGGTTTTAAATTTAAAGTTTTGAGTTGGGGGGGGTACCATGTAAAAAAAAAAAAAAAAAAAAAATGTTAGGTGAGAACTTAATTCCAGGTTAAAGGCTTTAAAAAGGAACAGGTGAGTTATTCGGATTCCACTCAAAATATTTTAACGAAAGTTAATAGAAGAAAATAAAATTTTTTTTAAATGTTATGTCCCTTCAAGACGTCGGCTTTCTGCTTCTATAGATTCTTTTTCTTTATCTGTGAATTGCTATGGGTTCTTGGGACATATAGTGAATTGGTTTCATTCTTTTTTTCATTTTTCAGGATTTTAAATTTAAGAGTATTTTATTTACAGTCCTGCTAAAAACTGGCTGCCAAATAGAATTAGAAAGGCAAATCTATTCTGGTAGCTGAGGAAGAGGCAAAGTAGTGATGGATGCATGCTTAATTTTATTCAAGTATAGGATTGGTGTACGGAATAAATTCCAATAACTAACAAATACTATTCTTAAAAGAGTGCTCAATACAGAGTAGAGCAAATAATCATTTATTCGAAAATTACAACTACAACATAAACATGTTATGTAGTGATTTTATAACATGTTTGTTATAATTTTCGAATAAATAATTATGTGTGTGTGAAAACTAAAAGGAATTTGAACTCGGATCGTAGATTTTACTTTTCTCCAAGATTGTTACGTTATCCGAACATCCGGACAATGTACTTACAGTAAGAATTAGACTTTATAAATTAAAAAAAAAAATAAACATGTCTTTAATTAAAAAAGGTAAAAAGAAAACTGCAACAAAGCTTGAAAGGTTTCGCAATACTTTTCAAAGATAACCGAAACAATATCAGTTATAAATTCTATTTGATACAAGCCATGTAAAAATTCTTGCTTAAAAATAAATTCCAATCAATTAAACTTCACTTTGCTAGCATGTATTTTTTAATTAAATCGTTTCTATGTTTTTTTAAGGAAAAATGAAACCAGATGGCCAGTTGGTTTAAAAAAGAAAAAAAAAAAAGCTAACTTAGTCTGGGTCTTTAAAATCATGTTCATTTAATATGGTTTATGGACCACAATTGACCCGATATTTACAACATCCAAGTTTTATTATCAACCCATATTTTATAGAATATTAAAAAAAAAAAAAAAAAAAAAAAAAGACAATCAGAACCTAATATTACAAATTCTTCTTAAAGTACAACACGAAATTACGGTCATTTCGGCAACCGATGAGTCCGACGAACAAATGATATAGAAAAAGGTTTAAGCTTTACATATGATGGAGTTTATATTAAAAAGAGAAGTAACCTAAAATGAATTAAGTTATCATAAATCATATGACAAATAAGACTGAAAAAAGATGACACAAAAAAAAAAAAAAAGCATAAACCAGATACACCGGCTTTATGGAAGGTGGCAGGCAACACAGGATTTCCTTTAAAATGCAATGTTTTATAATTACATAAGAACCGGTTAAATTCTAGAAAGATAACACAAATGCTGTTTAATATATTGAACTTACAAGTGTGTCTACATCCTGCTTAGATAAATGAGGTTGCAAGATCTTTTTGGTAGAATTCTGGTCGTCACCCATGCTGATGCAATATGGCTGTCTCCCGGCATGCAAAGTTCTGCCGGCAAAAATAATTTCAACCAATCAGCATTAACAATGACATTTACCGCCGACTCCTTCTTTGCTGACCACCAAAGATATACAGGAATGTGGGAGATACACTAGTATGGAAGACATTAACGAACTTGTCAATGTATATACTTTTACGGTTAAAAATGTTAATATAACGTTTTGTCTAAACTGTATTAGATTCATTATCATGTTGTAATATTTTACTTGATCTGCATAAAAGCTTGATTTATAATAAGTTCTAAATCTGCAATATTCATTCAGAAATAACTTCCGTTTGCTTAAGTTTCGTTCGGTTACGGTTACAGTAGTACACACTGCACAATTTATGAAGAGAACTCATACATAATACTGGTTACAAAGGTGAATCTACAGGGTGTTCCAAAAGTCGCATTACCTTTGGTAATCTTGTAAATTTTATATTTATTTACAAAATGGAATCATGTTTCTGTATGTGACAATCACAAATAAGAAATTTTATTGGTCGAATTATGAAAGATGATATCATGCAGATTTTCCCTGGTTGCTATTTCACAAGTATATGTTTTCTGCCAATTGTTTTGTGACTTAGAATACTCTGTATATAGTTTGATGACTGTGAAGACGGAAAATCCATACTTCTTTCTATAGACATTACTAAAACTAATGGTTGCCAAGACTATTTTAACTAGCAAAATGAAAGAGATGAAACCAAAATCAAGAATATGGAATGAGTGTTTCTGGATAGGTACTTAACAGGATCTTTTTATCTTCCAACATAGGCAAATTGTGACACCAATTATTTTTTTTGTGTAGCGATTGATATAATGTTTGGCATGATAGATCTGTCAAGGTATTACTTAGTTCCATTGGCTTTTGCAGCAGACATCAAGGTCTACCCCTAATCTTAAAAAGGAGGTTCTGCCTGAAAAGTGGGTCTCCAAGAAACAGCTTTCATACTTATTTTATAGGTATCTGGCTATTAGTTTTGCCAACAGTTCCACAAAATGTAGGATTGTTCCACATTTTCGTTTTAACATGTAGGACATGATTTTGTCCTGCATTTTGAGAACTGATTATTCTTCTTTAAAAAAATTACATGTAAATTTTGATTTTAAGAAAAGATGTACTTAATAAACATGAATGGTTGGCATACATGCAAAATCTTGTCACTCCTGTACTCTTTCCCTCTGATTTTCAAAATTCTTATAAAAATGCCAAACTAATTTAATTCAGCTTTGTTAGTCTGTGGACTCCTAGTTTGGAACCTGATCTTAAAGGAGTTCACAAATCTTATGGTTGAGAACCTATCCACAGAATTCATAGCTTCACGGCACCTCAACCCCATTTTACATTTTCATTTTAGAGAGTTGGTAAACATACTAATTACAAATAGTCAAATCTTCATCCCATCTACCATACAAGGAATGCAAGTGCAAGTCCAGGTTATTATCTATTAAAAAAAATTTAACAAAGGATGGGCCATATATACTTATGACAAAGGTGGTAAAACTTTTTTTTTTTACATTGTTGTTCACCCTGTATATGACCCAAGAGCCACTCAATGTAGAGTTAACGGTTAACCCTAGACTTGAACAGGTTAAGATACTCAATATTCTAAAAATGATTGGAGTATACTCTTAGGCAGATCATATAAGGCAACACTACTCCATTTTCGTCCTGATCTAACTCTTGAAAATGTAGAGGATAGCAGGACTGGTGTGTACTATCCCTGAACCTCCCAATCGGCAGGGCCCAAGCCTGATTGGGGGTCCATGCAGTGTTTTGTGACCCTCGCTATCTTATCAACATTTGCTTTTTTCTACCCACATTTACAAATTAAACTAAGCACAACTGACTATTAAAAGATTAAAAGTTTTTGCGAATTTTGACATCATTCTGTTTTGTTTTTTGTCTAAATCCTTGAATTTGTTTTGCTCATGCTAAGTCTTGAAAAAACACTATACAAAATTCACTATTCAAATATATTATAATGTTGAAGGTGTTAAAATTATTCAATGTTGAAAAAAGAAAAATCTCAAGTTCATGTTAAAAATTGCTGTAAAACATTGATTTATTTAAGATGGAATGATTTATTATAACATGTCTCTAATTTGTATTTAAATATGTTGAATTTATTTTAAAATTTTCTAGTTGAATTGTTCACCTGTTTTACATATGTTCCATTATTGTACATGATTAGATTACAATAAAATTTGTAATTTATATAAATACTACCTTATAAAAATTGAGATGTAATAGAGATTGGGAAGAAGGGCACAAGACCCTTTCACTGACTCTGCAGGCAACCAAACATTTTTCCAGTATCTTTAGTGATTGATCCTATGTACAAGTTCCACTTGGGGTTAGGATTCAGTTTAAGGCCCAATAGGTGCTCAAAGCATGGGCCCTCCATGAGGGAACATCCGTTTATTGTGATTGGTGATAATTCTGGGTCTGATCAGCGATGATGGAATGTTGGTGTGGTTTTCAAGGCATTGAATGTAACCAGACAGTTTTTCGCACATTGAGCTGTTAGAGCTAGATCAGAGGAGAGATCAGCTGCCAATCACTGGTCATCTAGAGTTTTGGAGGTGCACCCCTATACCGTTATATCATCAGCATAGATATTTGCGAATGATCAGAGTATACTTTTAAGCAGATCATTTATGTAAAGTAGAAAAAGGATTACCTCTTTATGTAAAGTAGAAACAAGGATGACTGTGTTGATTGCTAGGGCCCTGGAGGACTGGCCATTAACAACTAGCTTCAGGGACCTACCCGTTTGGATGGACTTTATAATTGAGAAGACTCTTCCAGTGATTCTATAGCTAGAAAACTTGTGCAGTAAGCCTTTATGGCACACCTTGTCAAAGGCCTTTAAAATGTTTAATGTCCTTGAGATGTATTTGTTGTCTAGTGTCTAACTGATTCTGTATAATGGCAGTTAGGACATCAGCAGTGGTTTGGGCCAATCAAAACCTTTACTTCTTGTCACTCAAAAGGTTGTTCCTATTTAAGTGATAAACAACCTTCTTGTTGATTATAGCTTCAAAAAGAGACTGATGGGTCTGTACTGAGAGGAGACTGAGTGTTCACCTGTGTTCTTGAAAACTGACCATACGCTTGACACATTCCACAGACTTGGGAAGGATTTCTCCTTCAAGCAACAGTTAAATAATTTCACTAAGATTGGAGATAATTCTGGGTTCATATTCTTAAGAACAACCACTGGGATTTTGTCTGGGCCAGTGGCTTTCTTAGGGTCAAGATTTTTGATAAGTTTTAAGACTTTCTGGGCTGTAAATAAAATAATACTAAGATTGTGCTCAATGAGATGGACAAGCCAGGAAGTGGAGGGCCTATGTCATCTAATGTTGAGTTAGAGGCAAAGATCAAAATGAAGAGCTTCATCTTATCTGATGAGGATGAGATGACTTCAGACCATTTATAATAGTGGACACTTTAACAATATTCAGAATTTGGTTGGAGATTTTTGTTTGCTTTTTACTGGAATTTTTTTGGAGTATTGTTATATTCCGTGCTAATAGGAATATGGAATGGACAAACACGGTGGATAAATAGCAACAGGTTTATTGTAGAAACCAGTACAACAAGCAAGGAAGTACTAGTTATATGCACGGTCGTCGCAAGTCAGTACAGTTGTGTGCGTGCTGCTATCGGAAGGCCACTAGTCTCACAGATCCCAGCTCGACTCTCCCGTCCGCTGTCCTAACAGATACTTATAGGTGGTTACCACCTATAGCACCACCACTCCTGGGGGTGGCATGTTATTCCATCACATCAAGTATAAAACTTTCCATTCCAGAAAGATCCATTCTGAGATGAGAGCAGCAGTTTTGATGGAGCTATGTTTGAAGGTTGAGAGAGGAGCTTCTACCATATAAGATCTGATACTGTCCCAGTTTACCTTTGTGTAGCAAAAGTCATCCTATGGAATGGCATATCAGGGGATGGCTTTTGTTTAGTATCAACTAACACTGACTAGTGAATGGTATGATGTGCCCAGGGTGATTTAAAACTTGCTGAGGGAAATTCAATGATGATATTATCAATCCTCTCAGATATTCAGTTGAACATTAGTCTCATTGTCCTGTGGATGATAGAGAGTGAAAATGAATGTGGTATTGTGGATAAGTGGTACATTGAAGCATATATACAGGAGATCAGGGTCCTTGTTTTTTGCATCTCTGTCACAGAAAGACATGTCTTTAATATAGGCAAAGATCCTATAACCATGGCAATATTAGTGGTCATGTTTAGTTGTTAGGGGCAACTAGACCAAGATTTCAAGCTTCTGTAGTTGGATAGAGTTATGAATACAAGTTTCAAACAGAAATAGGAGGTTAGTTTGGGCCTCAAGAAGATGGAGTTCAACCTCTGGAAAGTTTGAATACAGACCCCTCACATTGGTGTAAGAGATAGTGGACCAGGGGTTTACTTTTATTTTTTTGAGGTTGGGTTTGATAATTTTTTTCATTTTAGTTGTGTTCATGCATAGATAGCAGTGTGTTTGGTAGAAGACTAGGTCATGAGTCTGTCACATCCACAGGCGATGCATAACCTGGATTGAATTGTCTGGAGGTACAGCTGTAACAGTATCCTTCATCATGGCATTGAGAGGCCCCACTGGAGACTACTGCACAGTTCAAAACACATTCACAAAATGGCAGTACAATAGCTGATAGGGTAGTCCCCTTTGAAGTTACTCAAAGGTTTGCATCTCTGACTAACAGGCGGATAACACCAAAACCCAGAAAACATTTACTTCCAGCACCCTTTGATATGTCCCAGAAAAGGATATATTTGTTTGAAGTAGCAAAGTGGTTTTGGACTACTGTAACCAAATAGGACAAACTAGCAGGTAACTGTAATGGACTGATCCTTGTCGTAGTGGCTGTATTTATGGCTGATACTAGCCAATCATATTACTGTGAGGGGGGACCCAGGTG